CTGTATACCGGTATAATAAAGATATAGGAGACAGCTGCTATAACCCAGTATAATCAAGATATAGGAGACAGCCTACTGTATACCGGTATAATAAAGATATAGGAGACAGCTGCTATAACCCAGTATAATCAAGATATAGGAGACAGCTGCTATAACCCAGTATAATCAAGATATAGGAGACAGCCTACTGTATACCGGTATAATAAAGATATAGGAGACAGCTGCTATAACCCAGTATAATCAAGATATAGGAGACAGCCTACTGTAAGATATAGGAGACAGCTGCTATAACCCAGTATAATCAAGATATAGGAGACAGCCTACTATATACCGGTATAATAAAGATATAGATATAACCCAGTATAATCAAGATATAGCCTTCAATATCCCGGTATAATAAAGATATAGGAGACAGCCTACTGTATCCCGGTATAATCAAGATATAGCCGACAGACTTCTATATCCCGGTATAATAAAGATATAGGAGACAGCCTACAATATCCCAGTATTATAAAGATATACGTTACAGCCTCTCTATCGGAAAGAATACTAGACCAACCTAGCCTTGATGTCTTTCTATTGATCAGAGATATAGTTAAAATGGGTCCTTGTGTAATGTGATCTATTTTCGCTACTCGTATTGTATACCACTGCTGGTCCGATTATACAAAAAATTGTTTTCGAAGTCAATGGAGTTTTTTTCTAAATATATATATGATGTTAATGATATGTCATTGTTATTATCATTTTTAACGAAAATGAGCTCCACTTTTCAAGTACCGTCAGATTGGTTCTGGTCAGGACGGTCATTACTTATTCAACACTATCTTTTTATTAGAAGTGAATTGGGACAGGTAAATAGCAACTGTCATGGGGATTTGATAACTTCATGGCTTAGTGAACAAACGCAGAATATAACACCATATAAGCCTCTTCTTGAGCTTGTTTTCAGTCTAGTCATTGTACATCCCTAATATCGGAAATCGAACGTCCATGTTCGCGATAGATAATGATTTGGTGGCGGGATCTAAGGCATGTTTTAACATCATTTGCATACATCACGGAAATATTTGTATACTTCATCAATTGTGAACATAGTCAGTTTCCGGAAATGGTACGACCTGCATTCTGTGTTATCAGAGATGTAGCAATGATCAGAGTTAAACATAAGTGCAATATAAGTTTTATCGAAAAAAAACCCCAATATCTTCATTGTGTTAACCATGTTTTCCCGTCCATATCAATATCTATTTAAAAAATAACAATATTTCCTTTGTGAAAAAAAAATTCCGTCCTTGTAAAGTACTTTATATTGAATGATCGGAAATATAACAATGACCAGAGTGTTTCATATACTTTATGACGATGCAAATCCTAAAACAGAAATACGGTTTAAGAAGTAATCACTTGATCAGGTGAGCGTTTAGACCCATATATTATATTGAAACATAACATAACAAAGGTTTAAATAAATGTCGCTCTCGACAAAGTCGACAATAAAATGATTTAACACCGTTTGTTGAATACGTGTATATTTTTATTTATTAATAAGCAGTATACCCTAAAAACTCGAATTTAAGACGCGACTTATTATTTGATAGTACAAAATGTTGGTTTATTCATGTAAGGAGAGCTTTCAGGATAGGTTTGTTTTTCAGCACAGCTTTGGTTCTTATATAAGGGCATTTAGATACAAAAATGTAGCAATATTGATAATAACCGTTTATCTAGGTGACCGTAGGATTACATACATAATCAAGACGGTTTAGAAATGAACAGATCCGAAAGATACAAAAACATGGATATTGCTGAGTTACTTTTTCCCAGATAAGATCTAGGTTATTTGGCACTTTGTCGTACACCTGTCAATCTTACGCAAAATACAGACTGATGGAATAAAGTTTTCATCGGACGATATCTACCTATTTGTCTTAGCTGTAAGAATGTACAGGAGGTATAAAGCTGGTCGCCTTGTTTGAGTTTACAATTTTGTGCAATTCATTACATATATGCTGCATTAGTGATATAAGTTTTATGGTGGAAATAGGTTTTAAATTTTAACTATCCAAATCATTTCCACTCTTAACCCTTTGGTAGAAAATTGAGATCAGAATCTAGGCTAGATATGGATTCTAACAAAAATTAACTATACAGAAGTAGGGAATCAAATCCGACATACCTTAGATACTTCATTCGTTCACAGAGTGTATACTGGGGAAGATACACGATGTAAATTGATAGCGATAATGAGGCTGGGAGATCTAGAAGATTTAGCTCCCTTTGTTCAGTTTGGACATTTTCGTTCATTTATTTATTTCATTTCTTTGTACGCTTCTGTCTCCATTCAAAGCTTATTGAAAACACGTACTCGAAACGTTCCTATCATAACAGAAAAATCTATTTCTAGTCTCATTTGTGTTATTGTTAGATATACATACGTTGAATACATGTTAGTGTAATTTATCCACTTTGTTGTGAAATTAAACAGTAATCGATATCGTAAAACCACGAGGTTCCCCAGCAATCTTTAGTACTTTTAGTATTTGCAATACAAAATATAAAACTCAATGTGTATTATTACAAATGTATCAACGTCTTATTCAATACTGTACGAGATTTGTTAGGAAGTTGCTTTTCGACCAAAATGTTACTGAATCGCTTTGTAACCGGAATGTTAGTATATATATGGTTTAATCAAGTAATGGTCGGATAGGCAGGAGATGTGCAGGAAGATGTTAGGACAGCAGGTTACTTGTTGTATTCACTACATTGAGTATAACATTTTATGATAAGGAAGGAGGGAGCATTGATGAGATTACAGGTGTTACTAAGATGTCTGTTGTAAATATCGTCATTTCCAATGATCGACGACTGTTTGTATTTAACAAAAGTGAAAAGCTTATTTGGGTACTATTAGATCACTACTGACATTTACAGCTGATGTACATTTGCTTTCAGATAATAAATACTGTTTATAGTTTCTTGTTAGTAGCCTTGACATAACAAAAAACATCAAGAACATATCAACATGTCAACGAGTCCACAATATCTCAGATTTCTTCGATGTAATCATTTCTGAACTGGCGGAAGTGGAGGATTGAATTTCGTGTTGGTTTTGTAAGGTTCATTCGGCATCGTTACAGACACGCACTTATCTCTGTTTTCAAATAAGAATCACTTTTCTAATGATATGATAAACTCTTCAAAACACAATGACCGTCAATATCGTCTCGTCTAAATACCTTGACTCCTTAGGATTGTTAAATATATATTCAATGTCATAGCTTTGGCTTTATAACATTGTAAATTTCTTTACCCGGTGTTACATTAACGTTTGTGATTAAAGACGTTATGTTACTTATTTCCGTTATTCCCTAGGAGGCAAAAATGATGTTTGTCGCAAAATTATATTTCATGGACTCAACCACAAACTTTGCATAAATCTCTCAAATTGTCCTCCCAACAAATATACCTCATATCTCAATAAACAACCGTCATTTATGTATCATAAATAATCATCATCACTCATTAAACATACATCACCTATTTTAAGAGCGAAAGAGGCTCTAAAGACTTTTAAAAGTCTGTAATAGTTCAAGTGTCAATGCCTACTGGGACCAGAAATTGAATTTTTAGCCTTTTATCATGACAACTGATCAAAATACCAATAAATATTCCTTTACTGGAACTCAAGTTATTATGTTTTCAAGTTTGAGTCATTCACCATATCGTGGTTAAAAACACTTATCTGCATAATATTGATTGAAACTCCATGTAATTCATCTAATATAAAAAAGCTAGTGTGCATAGCTTATGAGATTGTAAAGAGGTAGAAATGCATTTTCAAGAATGAGAAGGTTTATTTTTAGAATAATTTCACACCGACTAAAATCCGTTAATAATGATTTTTTGATTATCATAAAACATTATATATATGTATAACTGGGTGCCATAGCAACGCTCTGAATCTCTTTTTCAAATATATATAGATGACATTGAAATGAACATATTACAAAGTCAATTGACCAAATAACAAAGAAGACTATATTAGATCTATAGACGATTAGTGTAATTATGAACGCTTAACTCCATTGATATTATTTTCAATTCTGATATTTCACAATTATGTTAAGTAACAATTGTTTTGCCGACTCATTTGATTATTTATCGTTTGTTAGATATGTACATAGGTCATTAATGATAATGGTAATGATGACGACGACGACAACAACGATGATAGCACGGCTCAGATGCTATATTGACATGATGATAATGGCGATGATGATGATGATGATGATGATGATGATGATGATGATGATGATGATGATGATGATGGCATGACGATGGCATGATGATAGTAGTGAAGTGATGTGATGGTGATGATGATGATAGCATAATGATGGTTGTGGAAATTATCATTATGTTCTTCTATGAGATATACATAGCTCGATTTTGTACTCAATATACGACATCATACTGAAAATATATTACGGAAACGTACCAATTAAGTTGTCGGATTACACAGAGAGGAGACAGTAACTGACGCAATTCGACGTCCCATTTTTTCACTGAATCTTGTTAATGGTCTTGTCTCAAACACTAGCAAACTTCAGTAATCTACAATGCAGTGTATGTAACACATGGTATATCCAGATATATAAGTATACTTTGTTTTGTGCACTTCGTACATTCCTTGACTTATGCACATAGCTTGTGCATCACTAAACCGTTAAATATAATTTCATTCACACAAGTGTGACATATATTTAATAGTTTTATAGTATTTTGTTTAGTTTTTATTATTTTTTTTATTATTTTTGCAATTCGCAATGTCTTTCGCCCTCCACTTGCTTCGAATTTTGCCAATGACATTGTAATTGCCGAGAGAATGATGGCATTGTCCAAAACACCTAACAAACTTCAAACTCTTATTGAGGCAGAAGGGTTAGCAAGGAAGCGGTCTATTTGTGTTATCAGAACCAGAGTTGAGAGATCTTACCATGGGGGTATATCAGCTGAAACAGGCAAAATCCTACATCAAAGAGCACTTAGCTGAAGATGGTCAGTATGAACTTATGCTATGCAGGGAGAAACCTGACTTGATCAAAGTTCAGGTTCGTTCACAACATGTTGCTTCGAAGGTGTACAATCTTTGGATTGAATATTCTAATGGACTGACCCCAATATCAGGCTGGTATTGTCAATGTAAGGTTGGTGCCAGAGTAGTCGGCTGCTGTGCTCACATTGCATCTGTCCTATGGTATCTTTCGTATGACTGACACCAGTCTGATACTGCACAAACAACTGCTTCCTCAAGTTTCCTTAGTTGTGTTGATGACGCAATGACGGCGGAGAACTGGTCAGACTGTGACAGCGACAGTGACTCCTAAATGAGTATCCAAACACCACCATTCCTCTTACTAAAGCAGTTAACCAAAATACAATCCCGTAAGTAATAGACAAAGGTCATTTATGATCATGTGAAACCTGGTGCTAAATCGATTTTTTTCCATTTTAATATCATCCATATTTGCAAAAATATTTCAAATAAATACACTGCACGTGATAAACGTATTGTTTATAGATGCATTAAGACAAAAAACGGTGCTCAAGTGTGACTTAATTAGTAATTAGGGCACTTAATTACCGTGACCTACTTTTCAACAAAGGCATATTTTTTGGTCATTCTAATGAAAGTTTTGAAATGTATCATCAAATGACATTTAAGAGGAAAAAACTAAAAAAAAATTAGTTTGATAATTATTGCAATAGTTATGAATTTGATCCCCCACTCGTCCCCACTATAACAACTGAAAAGCCTTGAGCTGACCTTAGATTAATGTCATGTCATTACCGCCTGACCTCAAGTTTTTAATAGACAAAACATAAAAAGTATTCGTGATGGCCACCAGAAGGCCCAAACTGGCACTCCTTTAAACGGTCGACCAAAAGAGGACATCCGGTACACAAGTGTCCAAGTAATTCTAACCCCTGACTAATGCTTGACAGGAAGAAGTGTTCATCACCACATATACAGTCAAATAAAGTATATAAAGTAAAATCATATCACGGATATAGCAAATTCAATTACACATGTATGAGCAAGAATTATGTTTTAAACAAGATGGAGGTGGTTGTGCTGTTTTCAGTGATACTTGCCTGCCTCTGCTTGGGTGAGTGATTCTTTAAAATCAACAGAATATTAATTCAGTTTTATGTATACTGTTTAGTGGTGATGAAGCAAGTTCAATTCTATTTTGATCAGTCTTTTACTACATAGCCTTAAATAATCCGATGAAAATTAATGTTCAATACAGTCTAATTCAAAATTCAAGATTCATACAGAAAACATATTATACTGATGATGAGGTATACTGACACTCATTATATACTGATGACTGACACTCATTATATATTGATGATAAGTATACTGACACTCATTATATACTGATGACTGATAATGATGACAAGTATACTGACACTCATTATATACTGATGACAAGGTATACTGACACTCATTATATACTGATGACAAGATAATATATACTGACACTCGTTATATACTGATGACGAGGTATACTGACACTATACTGATGACGAGGTATACTGACATTATATACTGACACTGATGATGACGATGTATACTGGATGAGGTATACTGACACTCTGACACTTATATATTGACTGATTTTATACTGATGAGGTATACTGACATATCATTATATATATACTGACACTCATTATATACTGATGATGAGGTATGCTGACACTCATTATATACTGATGATGCGGTATACTGACACTAAATATATTGATACCATTTTATAATTGTGATTAGGAGGTCAACTGACAATGATTACTGTTAGGTTATCCATCATTTTATCTTAATGATAATAGTCTAAGAATGTGAAGGTATTTTTACTATAAACAGTGATAAAATCATAAACGTCGTTTTGTAGATTGCACCGTCACTCGTATTAGTTACGTTTGATAGCAGCAATGATGCAGATATGTATAAGACGTTTATGAATTTACATTTTGTTTGTTTTACAGTGTGATAAATTATATAAAAGTGTCTAACAAGTGGTCACAAGGTTATTTCGGCTGACTAACACATACTAATGTATGTTTATATATTGTTTTATGAATCACTCGTTCGAGTTGTAAACTGAAGCGATTATCCCTTGAAAACGAAATGAATGTCGATGTGCGCAATTATATCCTTTTTATTATTGTAATTAAAATCTTTACAATACCGATCCCTTTCCTTTCCAAATACTGAACCGCTTTTATGTCGGAAATGATTAAAATAATCTGAAGTTTGACCGATCAAGACCAGGTGTCCGACAAGTCGTGAGCTCTGTGCCTCGGCCGCACACGTACCCAGACTTGTACAGATACCTACCCTGATCGGGTTGAGTTTAGTTAACAATGTACAACATTATCACAACTGATACTATGAAACCATATAGAATAAATCAAGCGTGTCATTGATCAGAGTGAGGGGCTAGCAAAAGTAAAAATTGTATTAATGTAGAGCTGCTAGAAAGACGTGAATTGTTCATAACACGTACAAATACGGAAAATCGGAATGGAGTGTTGTTTATACAATTGATTGCGTTATGCTGATGATCTAACCAAATATTAACAGAGCAATACGAAGTTTTTGTTTCTTCTTTTTCTGTTGTGAAGTCAAGAATTGCAGAAAAGTATCGGTTTTATTCATCGTTATATTTTTACTGCATAACATTTTTTTGTATTGAGTTAGAAATGGGCACTGTTAATATTCTGTACATAAACAAAATCGGATCGATCATATCCGGGTCGGGATTCTTCAACTCTTTGACTTTTGGATACCGAATTCTCTCTAAACCGAATGAAACGACTAGATGATGAAGTACCATTGATACGGTAAAATGCAAAAAGCATGTGTTTTGGTGGTGTTTTGTGACAGTGATTCAATCGGGTTTCCCACCAAAGTTCATCCTTTTCAAAGAGTAAGTTTAAACTATATTTAATTCTAATTATGTGATGTTTCATCATTCAGTTCAAAGATTAACTGCTAATGATGAGGTCAAAATGTAGAAAAAAGTAAAAGATTCTGATGAGTTTATTTTAATGCACAGGTTGGAGCAAAGAGGGATTTAACCCATAGGTCCATTTGTTATCTTTATAGAAATAGAGAAATAGAGAATTAGAGAAAATGTACGTGTGTATACATCAATGTATATGATTTATAATTTTCGTAACGAAATATTTCTATTGAAGGCCATCAGCTATCAATGTATCAATAACATAGTGTCATCTTCAAAAACTTTAAGGTGCTTTGTGATTAGATATAGAAAGTTCACTCATACGACATTAGCGAGTTCAATTTCATTGCCGGAAATCATATTGTATAAATTCTCGAAACTGTTATCTGGTGAATATGAAATATTTTTAATCATATACCGGTATGTGCATACGAACTACTTGGTTATCGAGCAATCTATTTCTTTTTTATGCTTGATATGTAATAATGTCTATAGAAATTGGTCAGTTTATTGGGCGCCTTATCTCCTGGAATAATAAAATACGTGCCCTGTAAATATTGAAGTGTGGAATACTGTGAAGGAAATTAATAATATTACCTGTTCGATTATGAACTGGGCTGTTTGTGTCATCTCGAAAGTGTCTTGCGTCAAGGAACTGCAAGTTTGTATGATAGGTTTTGTGATAATCAGATCAAATAGTTACACAATTTCCTCCCGTTGTAAAAGAATTAAACAAAAATAAAATAATGATACTTATTGCTGATAATAAAAAATAACACGAGGTGAATCGCCAATTACTCGGGTAAATTATTATTTAGAGATAGCGGTAAACATATGCTTGATCACACACCCATTATTGAGTATGGATATTTAGCCCCGTCATTCCGTTTGTGCTATTTGGTTTTGAAACTGACAAGTGTCCTACATCTTATTCGTTAGAAATTTTAGTTTCATTTAACATAGTTGACAATATTTGATAATATAGAGAGCAAGCAAGATATAATAGTATAACTCTGAAACTAAAACACATTACTTTGCAGATCCACTAGCAGAACGGTCCATTTGGATGTCTCCATCTGGTACGATAACAGTTATCAGTGGAACGTCACAAGCCCTTGAATGTCAGGTGAAAGGAGGTAACCCACTTGTTACACTGACCTGGCGGTGTAAAGGGTCGGAAGTGGTCGGAGTGAATCTGAGCAAGGACAGTTTGTCAGCGTCTAGGCTAATCGTTCCAGTGGATCAAACCTACAATGGAAAAGAATGTGTATGTACCGCTACAAATTCTACAACAACGATCGGGGAAAAGACTGTAGTGTTTGATGTGATATGTAAGTACCAGCTTCATTGTTTTACTTCTTACCACACTCGACTCGACACTTAACTTGGATCCATGACGAAAAGGACGCAAACCCATACCTTTACAAAGATTAGATTTTCCACTGTAACTATAACATTTTCCATGATATATATATATATATATATATTGAAAATGTGGTGAATTATCCATGCCTAATAAATATAGATAAAGTTAAAACACTGGAAAACACATGATATATATATGATGAGAGAATGCAAATTTTAAACATATACCTCATTCTATTAATGTACCAATGTTGATCTATAAGAAATTATAGGTTAACATGTCGCACACTGGTGAAAAACATCATAAATAGCATACGTATATAACGTTTGATATTTCTAAGATAAACAGCATTAGTGACAACGAGTTTAATGTTCTAATCAAGCGTTATAAAATGATGCGAAAATCAATTTCTTGTGTTGTCAATTTTCCATTTCTGGATATTAACATTCCTGCATCTCCAATTTTATTGGTGTTTTCATGTCACAGTTGATTTGATCTTCAAGAACCTGTTCCTATTATTACAATTTTCGTGTACGAAACTGTCAACTTGCGGAAAATTGGTATCACAAGGTTTCAAAATATGCAGATTGATTTCAAGGCTGTCGTGGTTATCTCATTGCGAAACATGCTTATTATTTGAAGCGATATGAATCTTGACGCATTGGTTGCTCGTTAGTTTAACTGTTGGTTTCTTTGATATATGCCTTATTTGAGAACCAGACATTACTTACTGAAGTGACCAAGATTCACAGGGCGGGTGTCGTTGACGAAGCAGAAGACTGGTCAACCTCGTATCACTTGGTCTTATTTTCCTTGTATCCTTTTCAGTGGTATCCGAGGAAATCTTTCATTTGTTCATATTGTGCTACCAGGAAAGCAAGATATGGCAATGTTTATTTCAACTTTCACTATCCATGCACCACGAAGAGGTACATGTAAGGCTGATGGCCTTGTTTATCTGTCTTAATCAACCTGTATAGTCCACGTAAAGCTCTTTAATAATTAACTGATAATTAACTAAACAAATTAAGAATTTTGTCAAAGATTGAAGTCTTGCAAACAGGAAAAAACTATACGTACTTTTTGACACTCAACAGTACTAGAAACGACGTAATGATATCACTTTGAAGCGCTTACTATTAAAAACACAATATGTTTTGCAAATCCGCCACCAGCAGAAAACATCCGTTTGTTTCCATCTGGTACAAAAACAGTTATCAGTGGAACGACACAAAGCCTTGATTGTCAGATGGAGGGAGGTAACCCTCTGGCCACAATGACCTGGTGGTGTAAAGGGTCACCACGGGTCGGTGTCTTGTTTATCCGTCTTCTTCAACCTGTGTAGTTCACGTAAAGCTCTTTACAACAGGTGATCCAGGTCGGAGAATATTTACTGGCATTTTTCGTTTACAGTTGAAACCGATATTAACTATAATTATTATACATATTTTACCCTATGTTTATTGAATTTGAGTTTGTCTTATGATTATGTAGTAGTGCTATTTTCTCGTTGCTTGTACTCTTTAACAGAGACATGACAGTTGAATACGTCCTGAATTATTTCTATCTGTCCATCGACATAATCTATTCATAACATATTTTTGAAAACAATCTCAGAAAACCTCGACCTATCTACATTACTTTTACCAGCAGTGTAAATGATTACCAAATTGCGTTGGTACCTTGAAAACAGGTGATACAATTACACGTTTTTTCAGTAGGAATGCTTTTATATTCATGTCAATGATACAGGTTATATTGTTCATTGAGTTCTTGAAAACAAACTGAAAAGTAAACTATGTAGTATATAGGTATATCGTGCGTAATATGTAAATACATGCAATTAAATATTGATACAACAATGAATTATTTTTCAGATGCTCCTACATACAAATTGATGATGTCACCATCTGGTAACAAGGACATTGGTGCCGGTGACTCAGTGACACTAGATTGCCATGTAAGGGGAGGCAATCCCATCGCCACACTGACCTGGCGGTGTAAAGGAGCATTACGTACCGGGAAGAATCTGACATCTACTGACACTGCTCGATCTACCTTGACAGTTACAGTGGATAAAACCTACAACGGACATATATGTGCATGTATTGCCACACAACAGACCAATCCTGGCAGAGAGATTGGTAGAAAAACTGTTGAGTTTAATGTAATTTGTAAGTACCGAATATTTTACAGCCTGACTAGAATGGCATGTGATACAAAAAGTATGAACTGCATATTAATTAGTTTTAAACAGATAGACCATATGTACTGTATGCTTCTAAATTTACTACCTATGAATACAGTATGAAAAACTAACCTCGGCCTCCGCCCGCACTCAATATTTGGTGAAATAAATTAAAATTTCTTAATTTTTCATAAAAGGTCGCCGATGCTTTTTCAGCTGTCTTCTTCGTCTGATATAGTCCACAAAGCTCTCACTAACAAGCGATCCTAGGCTCAACATTCTTACTGAGCATTTCATAATTGAAACCATTATATAATATAGTTTATATATCGGCCTTCCCTGGCTACAGGTAGTAATGACGAAATCATTATTTTTCCAAGTGTCTCTGGAATTACAATGATTGCATTTTCAATGGAGAGTGACATGATATATTTTTCTATCTATACCTTACCCCTACGTAGCCGGTCAATCATGAATGACCATTTACTGGGTTGTTTTTCTGCTGACCACATTGTTGATTAATTCCCATACTTTCATGTATTTTTGACAGATTTTTTATCATGATATAATCATGTGAATAATGAACCTTTGTTATTTCCTAGGCACTTTTTTTTCTTTTTCTGACCTTTCCTCTGTCTTTTCTTATCTATAAATAACTTATTTGTATTCTTTCTCTGAATTAGTTGAAATATTGAAATCATGTTTCTGCTTTGCCTTTTTTACATGGATAAAAGTAATCATATATATATATGTTAAGAGAATGCAACGTTTTTTAAAACATATACCACATTCTATTATTGTTTTATGTACCAATGTTGATCAATAAGGAAATTATATGTTAACATGTCGCACACTGGTGAAAAACATCATAAATAACATACGTATATAACGTTTGATATTTCTAAGATAAACATCATTAGTGACAACGAGTTTAATGTTCTAATCAAGCGTTATAAAAGGAAGAGCAAATCATAAACAGACTCAATTCCGTCCCCATATTCTCTGGGTTATAAAATAAAGATTCAGTTGCTTGTATTGCATATATAATTAACAAAACCAAAGGATATGCATTACAAGACATTTAAAAATTATCGATTGAAATCGATCACAAAGTAAATATGTAATACATATGAAGTATATCGACGACAAAATAGTACTATTCTCTCCTTTCTCTAAAATAATCATCACATGGTCCTATTCTCTTTGTACCTTTTCAGGATTCTCAGTGAAATTCTTTATTTTGTTCATATTTCGCCCTAGTTTTATGACATTTTAGCTTTTAAAAAAAATATTACCACAAACTGCAACTGGATACAAGAACGTTACGCCCGCCCATGTAGATATATTATTAGGAATGGATGTTACCAAGTTTTTTTTTCATTATTTACATTACTATTCAACACGCAATACTTTTGCAGATCCACCACTAGCAACAAACATCTATTTGCTTCCATCTGGTACGGAAACAGTTACCAATGGAACGACACAACGCCTTGAATGTCAGTTGAAGGGAGGTAACCCTCTGGCCACACTGACCTGGCGGTGTAAAGAGTCACCAAGGATCGGTGTGAATTTGACCACCAGCAATTTATCAGCGTCAAGACTGACATTTACAGTGGATGAAACCTACCATGGACAGCAGTGCGTTTGTACCGCTACATATTCTAAAACAACAATTGGGACAAAGACTGTCGTATTTAACGTGCTATGTAAGTATCAGTTTCACTACTCTTCTACCGACCATACTCGAAGTGGCTTGACTTGGAATATTAGGGGCACAAAACCTAGATTTTGCACTTTAGATTTCAGCTAACAGTAGCCATGATCAGTCTTATTGCACCATAAAGAAATGCGTGATAAATATGACGATATCGCTTTCCCTCATTTATCTGTTACAATTGAAACCAATTTTAACTACAGTTATTATATTTTCCTTTCCTATCTATGGATATTTGTGACATTACTTCTTCAATCGGAAATTTCAATTTACCTTCATTATCCACATTAGCGCACGTTATTTACAATTTCTGTTAAAAATACAGTTTACACACCAGTTAAACAACATATATAATTTCTTAATGCTAATTCCATATAATTTATTCCTAAAACATTTGTCATTGTGGTTGTTACGATATAATATACTCTGTGGGTAGTGTCATTTCGTTGCCTTTACAAAACAACACAATCAATCTCATGAGTTCGCACACTTGTACAACATGTGTGTATTTGAAATATAAGATGTAAATATTTTATATTACGGAATAAAAATAATGCAATTAAGGCACAATAGTTGAGAAGGCGCTCCGTGCACCGATGAGCAAAATGTATACTGCAAAATACATTATCAGTCCGTGACTTTGTCAATTACAAAACACGTCTCAGAAAAAAATATCGACATGGCTATATAATGTCGACCAGAGGTGAAAATTATAAAAATGGAACCTTGAACACAAATGATATGATAACACTTCTTTCGGTCGATATATTTATGACTTTTCTACGGCTTTAAGTACCGATGATATCAAGGCATAATACAGAATTCATTAGAGAAGGGCCGACTTTATCAAGCTATATACAATTTATAAGCATCTTGTAGAAATCAATCTTAAAAATGCACACATGTAAACAGAATCTTAATTTAAAATCAAATGGGATGAAACAATGGCAATTCGGCTAGTACAAGTGGCACTTGTGGTGGTGCCATTATCCATGATTCGTTTACGGCACCACAAAGATATAGATTGCAAGTGTTTTCCGTGATGTCGACGTAATTGTATTACTTGTCTTCTGACTGGATTCGACATTGAACAGAATAATTTATATCGTGTCAGTGCTGTGAAAGAATTAAGATACATTTAAATGATGTTCGGTAATTATGTTCGTACTGTTTATGTCTGACGTTCAAGAACATATGTTATAAGGCAAGAGAAAATAGTACCTCGAAGTTAATTCTCAAATAATCGAATATAGCGATGGAAAAGCACTAAACCTGTGTCTGATGTAATATGAAGCTTAACATTTTTTATTCTCTTGAGTTTACTTGTTGGTTCCGTTGCTGTATACCTTCAATATGAATTTAGCGTTTCTGTCGTCTTCTGAGTCTTCTTTTTATTTCGGTCGTTTCAATATACATTTGCACTATTGTTGAAAGATGTGATTCATCAATATGATGATAAATCATACATACATGGGGCTGTTTTGTATATATTAAAGTCATCTGACATTGTAGATTAGTGAAATAGAGGTAGAAATAACAAAATATAACAGAAACAGAACAAAAATCGAAAAGAAACGAGCCTAACGAAAGAATTACTAGATGTATTACCCATGAGTTTGTGTGGTTTGTCAGTCAATAAGAGCATGTTAATTTGTTTTCCCACGAGCGTTATAAAATGTTAGGTTATACAACATTTGATGATTAATTGATGCCCTTTGAGTTGAATAATACCGAATTAGTGGTAGAATAACTGTTTAAGACTTGTGATAATGTTTATCTCCTCTCGTTACAATGTTTTTGGGAATCATGTTAAATGTAATTATTTACCAATGACGGGTTTCCTGTCGATGAAGCCACAAAAGTAATGGGAATTGAGGTATCCCTTTGTCATGTTTCAGTTCGTTGCTTATTGGCATGACTCAGAATTTTAAAATACGCTTGATTTAGTTTAATAATTAAGTCATATTGAAAATGTTGATTTGTTCAATTGTATCGGGTAAGTGCTTATCGTTATCTATTATGTTCATGAGTTTAACAACAAAGTTATATTTTCTTCCGTCGTATCCTAGGTATTCCGACATTAAAAATACAGCTGTATGATTTCAATTAATTTCTGACATTATTGCATTTAACACAATACACATAAGATACATTGATATGTTACAGATGCTCCTGTCATCAACCTAAATACCTCTAAAGTCATCCTCAGTGAAGGTGAGAGTTTTAACAGGACGTGTTCAGCTCACGGTAATCCTTCTCCAAACGTGTCCTGGGTTCAGGATTTTACTACGTTACCGTCAACAGGGGTCCTTTTTTTCTCCAGGATAGAGAAAGGGGACGCCGGTATCTATGTATGCCTTGCTGAAAACGGCATTACCTCACAAACACGAACGAAATCTTTCCGGATCATCGTACAATGTAAGTAAACAAAAAGAGTTCTGTATTTCAGACAAAGTCTGAAGTGACCTATCGCGATCGCCTTTTATCCATTAAATTTCAAGGTCACATGGCTAAAATATATTAAAATCTTCAAACAACTTCCTCTCAATTACTGAAAGGGCCGGAGGTCTTATATTGGGCCTGTATCAAGCTTGCATGAAAGGCGACAAAGTTTGTACAAATAAAAGACCTCGAACTACTTTCAAGGTGACAGGTGGCAAATTTCTTAAAATCTTCAAACGATGAGACCCAGTGTAATGATATTTGGCCAGAAGCAGTAATATTCGACAAATAGCATGATGGGATAAAGGGTAACTAAGATTGTTTAAATGAATGATAGCTTTCATGGTGACAAGGATAAAATACCTTAAAACCGGAAAATGATTTTCCACAATAACCAAGAGACGAAACTTGGGACCACCAGCAAGCTAGTCAAGGGGATAAATGGCTAGACTTAAGTTTTCATTACCACAATACTTCATGTTTCTCCACTTCTCGAAGATGTAAAATTTATCCTCCTACAATGATATATGTGAGTATTCGTATTCATTTGCAGTTGAAATGACAAAACAAGTTGGAATTTAGTTGTCGAGTAGTTTAAAGTTTTGAAAACGTCAGTGCGAGGTCCTAGGAGTTGGATTTGTTCAAATTTCTGCAGTGTCTTTAAATTATCACACGTACTACAAACATTGCTCTATTGGCCTTAATCTGTATGCTAGATATTGGATAAGGCAGATTTGTTATGTTTGGGCTTGTCTTTTGTTACAAAAAACAAGTCAGGTGACCGTTTAGGACTATGGGCCTCTTGTTAACGTAAGTATCGAGTCAGAATTATATTCCATCACGCTTCACAGAACGGTGGAAATATGTTTGTTCTACCATTACCCATTATGCTTATTTATGTCCTGTTTTATGATTTTTTTGTTACTTTATATTGCGAAAATACGTTTTCCTTAGAGCCTTCAGCGCCATCTGCAGTTTTTGATATATAAATATAGAAAGACAAAGCGATAGCACAAGGTATTTATAATGTTATACTAGTTTGGATGTATTATTTATCGCAGCAAAGAAAAGCAATTAATTCATATATGAACCAAACACAAAATGAAGTAAAACTGAATATATATATGGGAATATCTCGCCTATTGGTCTATTCGATAGGATATTAATTTTTCATTCACATACAGCGTAATACTTTTCAAACATGACGTAAGAAGGTCGTGCATTATACAATTACCAGTTAACTTTGTAACCTAAAGCGAAATTGAATATTATAGATATAACGTTTATTCAATTAGTCGGGGGATCTTTAATGGGTGTTTTTAATTGTGTGTGATATATCGTGGATATTCATTCTTAAATTAACTGGTAGAGAGGTCATGACATTGTCCCTGCAATCAGGTTCATTGCGTATATAGGTTAGTGACGTCATACACAGGCGTTATCCGCGCTAGATATGTACATCGCGTTAATATTGAAACAATCTGGTTACATTTAAGATGAGTTAGAATTGATCTTAAAATTGACTCTTTATTTAGAATATATACCCGTTTTTGCGACAGATGTTACACTTACTTGTCTTACTACGTATCTATTATGAGTTCAATTAATAATATTACTCAATTCCATGTTTAGAATGTTATCATTGTATTTAAGAAACCCATATGAAAAAGCACAATGTGTATTTACATCAATTCACAAGCAATACACCAAATTTCATATAGAAAACAAACGTTCACCCATTCTTAGTACTGTTATATGATTGTGATCTACACCGGAATGTATTTCTGAATAAATTATGTACGATACGCACACAATTGTCTTACATGTTTGAATTGAAAGCGTTCGTTGCATTACTGGCATTTTCTTTACATAAAATGCTGAATTTATTAATGTCAGAAAGCCCGTGCCTTTCACTGAATGATATATTGATGGTGTGTTGGCATTAAATAACAAGAAAATTATTGACCATGTCGATCATATATACCCACCAGAAATTTGACACCAATGATATATAGGTTGAATGCCATTATGAGGCTTTTTAAAGTCAACATGATTGTCGCATTTAAGAAAATGTATTTGTTCGTTATGAAACGGAACGTATGTGATACTCATTGTAACACTGTGGGATACAATTGACCAAATCCCCCTTATATATTGTTGTACTTAAAAACATTTAATAGCATATTCAATGCGATTTCCTGAAAAATATAATGTTTTGCTATTTATTACATTTGATTTAACCATTTAATATTTAATGTAAAGGAGATTTTTTTATCTATTAATTCTTTCCAAAGTATCAAACAAGTCTGTATGTTTTTTTTCTGCATGTTTTTAGATGCACCCGAAGTTGACTTGGCATTTACAAACATGACAGAAAATACTACGAACGCCAGTCTGAATTGTACTGCTAGGGGCGTTCCTTCCGTGTACAAGTTCAGGTGGATACACAAGATTGGATCTACAGTCGTCAGAGATTTAGATGACCACGTGATCAATTCAGAGTCAGTAAGTACACTGACTTTACCAAGAGTGAGCTATCAGGACATGGGGACATACATCTGTGAAGTGGAGAACGGAATCAAAGGGAGTAATGGTCAGATTGTACAGACAAAACAGGGAATCATATTTGTGGAAGGTAACAAAGTTAAAAATCATTAGGATGTTTAAGATGCATAACTCAAACTATTTTTCCAAGTATTAGCTTACTCTCTCATCAACGTACAATCCGTTTTTCAGGTTGCCAGAACGCGTTTATATGAATGTTTATATTTAGATATAAAGAGGTAGATTTATCACAAATTTACCGCCTAATTAGCGTAGAAACTCCATTAACATATTTCATTTTCATAACAGACGGGTTTATAACCTGGCGGAGAATTGAGTGGCTAAATGACTGAAATTGGAAACCAACGCTAAAATACATATCATTTAGCTTTTAGATTGGAGTTAACACAGGTCGCAGATCGATATTTTGATGGGAGGGTGAATTTAATCCTGGTGAAATGTTTCTCAGTTATACAGTTTATTCATTATTTGACTCTACCTATCTACTTTTATAGTTATATCGTCTTTTGTTCAGCACAGATGTTTATAATCATTCGTGTATTTTTCCGAAATGTAGGCAGTCCGCGAGCGATCAATGCACAAGGTAGATATTTGACTGAAAAAAACACCTCCCTTGACTTCAATATAACTTACGTCAGCTTTCCTGCGCCTGTCAACACATCATTGATCCGGTATGGCTCTACCTTACCTGTTGTCACCGTCTCAGCCGCTACAGTGACCTTGCCATTCTATCACAAGAACATTTCCGTCGATGGGTATATGGCACAAATACACTTCAGTAACATTGAAACAAAGCACCAAGGACGTTATCAGTTGTATATAAAAAATATCGTCGAATTTTATTACAACTTCGACATCATCATATCTGGTAAGTTTAATAACATATTTAACTAATAACCATGGTTTATTCTATGTTGATGAACGCCATAGTCCACCACTAACCAATACATTAAAAGGAGGATCGATCCGCTACAATCGGGGATATAAGAGAGAAACAAATCAGTGATAAGTGCATTAATATTGGATGGAATCGCAAGTACTTGAACCATTGGAAAATATGTTTATCTGTCTAATATTAATTCAGAACATAATGCATCCTGGTATGATGCAAACGTTTCAATGACCTATTTATTTGAATAAAAACGTCATTATTATAATCAATAGTATTGCATTACATCAATTTTACCCGTTCCTTTGATGAAAACGATATATAAGGTATTTGCAAAACATGTATATATATATATATATATATGGTGAATATTTTGGGAAAGACATTGTTGCGATTAAAAGAATGCCATTCTCATATAAAAAGTTATATATATAATTCCAATACAAGCCTTTCGTTGAGTTTGGTTAACATGAATTTCAAATTGCTTACGAAATATGACCAGAGAATATATATATAACGATGAAGTTAACGTATTTCAGTAACATAATGTAAATGGCTATCTATACAATTGAATTTTCAGATAAACCGGATCCTCCAACACATCTGGTGATTGATAACATCTCGAAAACCAGCGCCGTCATCTCGTGGATTTCCGGGAACAATAACGGTCATGTTCAAACATTCTCACTGAGTTATCGCAAGCACAAACAAATTTTAGAGACAAGTGTCATCCTGAACCACACCGTTTCTTCATTCTTTGTTGGAAACCTTGACATGTCAACGAAGTATGACGTCACAGTATTTGCAAGCAACGATAAAGGAACCAGCGAAAATATTACTCGTACATTTCAGACGCTTTCAGGTAAAATCCCATTAGAGTGGTATTGCACTCTGTCGGTAATTTTGGCTGTATACCCAACCGTTGTGATCACACTAGATCAAGTTACCATGTGCCTCTCAAAATTATTGAAAAATAACAAAAAAAACATTACCTGAATTTCGTCATAACATGAGCAAATATATTAATACTATGATAAAGAAGACAAGACACGAGTCTCCATTTATATTAGATTTTGCAAACGAGTCAGAATTTCTTATCATTATTTTCTCTTTTTCATTCAAAATTTTGTAAACATACATAAAAATAGTCTTTGATTTATCTAATAAGAAATCTACTTTAGTGTTATTTTCAGTTTACTTCTATTTCTCTCGTGTATGACGTCACAATGCATGTATTGCCATTTGGTTATGACGTCATATAGCAAACAATTGGGTTCTTCAGTCAATCACAGCGCCACAAGGTCATATTGTACATATCTGATATCACCTAAATCTATAATAGGTTTGATTAAACTAATAAAATGGATACATCCTACTTATTTCTGGTTTTAGAGAGCAAATATCTAAATTCATTAATGTTGAAAGAGTGGTACAGGAACCATTCATTAAGGATCAGAGACGTTTATAAAACAACAGAGACATTAAAAGAAAAATATTAATATCAATATTGTTTTGATATTTTGCGTATGTCTTCTTTTCTAGCTATATGAAATAATGGCTTGAAAGTCCTCCAATACTTTTGTTGTGTGGATTTGATATAAAAATTCTTTTATTAGAACTATTATCTCTTTTCTTTTCATACACATGCCGAGAAATGTCAACCCACTCAAACCACTCCTAATTTCTTGAAATATATCGACTACATCTATCTCACAGTGAATTTTTGCGCCTTATATCAACAAATTTCCAATTATCATCAATTTAGTCACATTTCTTACATCTGTTCATTCATGGATACAGCAGCATCATCCGGCGGCCATGGGGCTATTTTTGGTGCAGTTGCAGGTTCAGTGGCTGCAGGTATACTGATTGTTGTAATAGCAATAGCAGCCTTCAAACATCACCAGAAACATACAAGACCAAAATCAAGTATGTATTAAGTTTCGTCTAAATGGAAAACATCTGACCAAGATTTCGATGTACTTTATTATTTGAACACATTCTTAAGTGTGATTCTATATTAGAAATGCAGGCTTTATGAATAAACGTGATGCAATATATCAATCAAATTTAAATATAGAATTAATAATTCATTTTATCGTAATTAATTGATAATTGTTTTATTTCAGAACCGCCTCCGGATCGGTAAGTTCTCAAACATAATTAAGATAAAAATTCGATGCAAATAAACAGCTATTAATATCACTGCCTTTTGAGTAAATTGAAATCAAATGTTTGTATGGTTTGCAGTGTTCATCGTTTTCTTCCGTGTAACCTCGGTTCGTAATTACCTTTCTGATTTTATAGAACAAAATGACACAATTCCCCTCAGCACCCGTGCTCATTCTGTTTTACAGAGCGGGTGGACCTCAATGACCATAGCTAATGTTAAAAGGATTGGAAGCATTTAAACGTAAACTCATGAAATAATCTATAAGTTAGTAAAAACAAGTTCATGAAATTCATTCCACATTGACTGAAATAATCGATGTGTTTTGATAAGGATTTGCAGTTACATTTCTCTATATTACGCTGACTACTGATTAGAGCTGGTTTGTGCTTTGAAGAGCAATATAATTTATGTCTGGCTAATGGTTCATATTGTTCAGCAAATATAAATTATGTTTTTTATTTCCTATATTCAGATTAGATGATAACAATGGTAAGTGATTTGTTGATTTTTAAAAATTGTCCTAAATATATCTTTGACGTTAACTAACTTGACATATTTGCACGGCAATGTCAACATATCTTGTGAAACTTCAATGAGATAATGTAAACATTGTTTAATTTCTTAGAATTTTACCTAATCTTCAAGCAACGTGATTGCATTTTTTCACAGAAGTCAAGAAATAACTTTACTGAGAGGAAAAAGAAACGCGATTAGCAGAAAGTTAACATTGTAAATTAAATTCTTGACGTACACCCTTGAAACTTTATTTAGGAGTTAGATTCCTATAGTACCTTATTAAAATCACAGATGCATAACTAAACTGCGCACGCCGCTTGTACAAAAGAATAAGAGATAAAAACCACGATATCTCGAACCCAGTATAAATGATTGGTTCAAAATCTGTGTGTGCGAATCTTCAAACATATCAGTCTTGATTTCCCACTTTTTAAGCATAAACAGTTCACTGTGCCACGACTGTCCGAAGTTGACAGGAGTCGTCCCATTGCATTTCTTATGCAAGGTACCCCGCAAAATCAGGTCGCTAATCAATTTGGAGTCCACCCATCGAACATTTGCCGTCTTATCCACAGACTACATGCCACCAGAAGGGTTGCAGACCGTCCCTTAAGCGGTCGCCCTCGTGTGAAGACGCGTCGGCAGGATAGGGCAATGCGACTTTCGCACTTGCGCAATCGCTTTCTGACGGCCACGGAAACAGCAAGGTACACAACTGGGCGTCATCATGTTCTGATTGATCCAAAGACAGTGCGTACTCAATTGCGTGCCTTCAGTCTAAGACCGCGGCGGCCATACGTTGGATCACAGCTTTCCTAATTCCTAATTCCTAATGGCTTTTCCTTTTATTCTCAGTATGTTATTTTCAAGATTAAATGAAACCCTGAAACATGTCAAAAAACGGAAACTCACCACGAAAACTACTGAATTAAAGTCAATAAGTGACTTGAATATGTCATTACATTTCACAAATAACACGTTTCACGTTCTCAGATGGTTTGAAGGCCAACATACTATATGAGTCTGCTGGTCCTAATTACATCCACGAGCCCGGTCCAAGTACCAGTGATCGGGCTGGAGCTGTGTATGCTATGGTACAAAAACCTAAGTCGACGACTACATTCTCTCAGGTCTATGCTGAAGTCAGAAAACCAAAGAAAGGAACCGTGCAAATTGAAGTGCATGCAGAGGTACAGAGGACAGAGACAGAAACTGTCGACAAAGGCAAGTAAGCGTTTTAAAGCAGCCGAAATTATTTAGCACTGTTGTCAAGCGCAATTGCAGCATTATCTGATATACAAAAATATTCTACTGTTTGTTCTGATGATGTTATTTATTCTTTACGCCAGAAAATGATTGTATCGAGGTTGGTACCATGACACATCGATGGAACAGGAAGATGGTAGTTAAATTTTTCACTGTAAAATTTTGTGTTTTCTGCGATTTATTTATATTTATTGTTTTATCAGAACCTTTAATCAAAATGCATGCATTTTTCACGAAATTCATAATATTTTTCTATTTTCTTTTCGTTTCAAGATTTTTATTAAATCATCCAATGAAAAGATTGGAACTACTCGCAAATAGCAACGTTTTATGTTGTAGATTCAACGAATGACGTGTATAAACAATGTATTAGATACCTCATCTAATAACACTTTTACTCACTTAGATGGTCTGAAGCCCAACATACTATATGAGTCTGCTGGTCCAAGTTACCTCCTAGAACCCGGTCCAAGTACAAGCGATCAGTCGGGAGCTGATTATGCTATAAGGAAGAAAGTTGAGTCGAAGACAAGTGAAGTCCAGAGAGCCGATGAGGAGGCCATGAATGAATCAGCGTATGCAGAGGTTTAGAAGCTGTAGAACATGAAAGGCAAGAAACCATTTTATAGCAACCAAATGAAATGATGATGTCTTATAATACATAAATTAAAAAAAAGTGTATTACACACTTATTGTGCTTAAAACAATCTATATCTTGATCAAATATTCCTTTGAATTTGTAATGTGAATATAGTATAAAGGTTATCCATTGAATACCAAAAAGAAGTTATTAAACGGAAAATATCGACTTTTTATGATAACCAATTGATATTTTATTTGTGTTTATGTGAAACTCTCACTTTGAAGAGTTAATCACATACACACTATTCGCATAACAGTTTTGCACTTAAAAGAGGGGATTGCGTCCGCAAAATGGCAGTTCCATTATATGACTGCGATTCCAGTGATGAATATTCATATGCCACATCTTACCCTGCATTATCATGAGATGCAGGTATATGAACTGAATAGAGTTAGAGGTGAATGGGATTTGTTGATCATAGACCTGATCCTAGACATTTCTCCTCTTATCCACATTATAAATAAACATATAAAACGGTATAGGACTGGCACTGACCTCATTTTTACTTGTCGTTTTTTTTTGTCTCTTGTCTTATTACATGTTGGACGATTAGTCACTTTTATTTCAAGTGCAGGAAGGTCACTTATGGTTCTGTAAAATAATCCTTCCTGTATATGAGGTATATACATGCGTTAGAAACTTCCGTTCACCGTATTTGTACATCAGCACATGATTAACAACCCACACGTTGCATGCATCTATTTCACAATCACACGGTGTCAACGGTAGGAGGTGATTAGGTACTTGTTAGGAACAATCAAGATACACTTTGACACTGCATTGGGTGTGTCTATAGTTGATTCCGTTTTTTTGTTTTGTTTATATTTTAGATTGAAGATCTCCTGATCAGTTCGGAATTGAAAGAATTGAAAATAGGAATCTAATACGGATAAGAGTCCGGACCACCAGTGAATTAGCAAATGAAACTGACGTTTGTTTGCCGATGAATCAGAAACGCCAGAAGAGTGTAACGAAAGACAATACTTTATATTAAGCATCACAGCTGCGCTTCACGTAAAAACGTTAATGATCCTTAACTCTAACACTGAAGGTTACTTAGTTTAAGAAACAACACCAAGATATGTTTTATGCATTATGTAGACCGTTCACGGCAAATGTAAAGTATATGACGAAATGAGCTCTATTATATTTTCTATTTGATGAAATATTTATGTGTGTTAAGAAATGAAAATCAAGGGTCTATTTTATTCCATTTTCAGGAAATAATATCAAAAGAATGTTTTTTTTTATTATTTTATGAGATATTCGGAGTCGGGGTTGAAGCAGTGCTTTTCATATCCTATATCAAATTTACATAAATCGGTTATATTTCTTCTGAAATCAAATGGTATTCATAATCAGACGGGTATATTCCTGGTGAGTTACATGCACACAATGGATGTATTTCCGGCTGTTGATATTAACCATATAAAAACGCATATTAATATAACACAGCAATATTTCATACTGTCGTTGTACTATGTTTGTATCAATATAAACCATAATGTTTTGTACTCATTCTTGTCTGCGTCATAACAGTAATAACAAATTATAAAAAGTAGAATTCACAATTTCAATGTATAGACTCAATCTAATAATAATTTTAATATTGCCAAAAAGATGGAGCATAAAATACGCCACAGGACTGCAGTGCTGTCAATCAGAGTAGTCCAGCGCCATCCCGACTGTAGGTATTGCAATCATGCTAAATTTGTCATATTTGTGCTACTGTTTCTACATACATGTTAATGCTATATGTACTGAAGGGATCCTAAATATATCATACTTGTTATTGTTTTCATTTCTTTGTGTATCATGTGTTTTGAAATCATGCTGAATTTGTCATATTGATGCTACTTTATCTATATTTAGACCGTAATTATATATTGTAATTTTGCTAAACATATCATATTTGTATTTTATATATCTATGTGCCATTAAAATACATTAACTTAACTTGATGTTCTTGATAAATGCCAGTAAGATAGACTACGCACCATTAAAAAACAAATATCTTGTGTAATGGTCCGTAAAGTGTATTTCAAAGCAGGGTCATTTGGGGTCTGGCCCCACTTGTATAAAATATCTCAATTTAAGATTTCCTCAAGCCCATATTTTCCTCAGCTAATATCTCCTTGAAAATATCTTGTATGAAAATTCCTCAAGGAATTTCAGGACATCCTAGCCGATGACTTCCTCATGTTCCTTGAGAAAAATTATAAAAGCCGTTTTCGAGGAGATATCAGCTGAAGAAAATCTCGACTTGAGGAAATCTCAAGTTGAGATGTTTTATACAAGTGGGGCCAGATACAATAGGTTTGCTGCCAGATGTGACGATTGAAAATATTCTTATTTCGTCATTTGCATCTCTGAGTTATAGCCATACTTCCTATTGTTAAACCCCGTTTATTCAATTAATAGATATTAGATAAAATATTATGTTTTATTTTCGGATGATAAACCACTCCATATTAACCTATATGGACCTAAGGAACTTATGTGGAAGAAAACAATGACACCAGAACGAACAAATACATGTACAAACTCATAGGAGGAATCGAATCAATAAAACATATATGACGGAGTTACAACACATACTAAAATTTCATATAAGTTTTATTGTAATCTCCGAGTAACACATCATTATGCGTTTGATTCATACTGTCCAGTCCTAAATATGATTTTTGTTCAATAATATTCATGTAATAAGTACTAACATGCAACTTTATTTTGGATGCTTAAATATCATAATTTTGTTCCCATGTTTCTAAGCAAGACTCGGCTAGAATCAGTTTCATAACATACTTTGTTTTGATATGTTTTGTTTTTTGTTGCTTTTTATCCTTCCTGCATATATTATCATACTTGTTTGTCGTGTTGAATGTAATATGCACACAGAAGCTTACAAATGTATTTGTGTTGTTTGACTTCATTTCTAAAAAAATATTTCAGATTGATTTTGGTCTTTGTTTGCATTGTTTATTACGTAAAACTATAATTACTGTAACATCATGTTTTTGGTGGGTCTCAACTTCTGCGGTTTTTCTCAAATCTGTTTCGTTGATACTTAATTCCAGGTGTAAATATTTATCTGCAAATGCTTCATTTAATAATTCGTTTACACGAAAATAATAGTCATGCGATCTTTTTATGCTATCTTTACATATTTTGTTTTTTATATGTTTTTTGTTTAATTGGTTATATCTTACTGCTTTGTACCATTGTAATTGAAATATATACATCAGTGTCATCATACCATTGTTATCTTCATGTAATTTGACTTCTTTCTATTCATTGTACTATCCCTTGCCACAATATAGCAGGTTTTTAATTTAGAATGTTTGATCAAAGTATAAAATGATACTTATATTTGTGTTATCTATATAAGGTAACACCTTAGCAAAAGAAGCAGCGATGTGTTACTAACTCTCAACCAAATTAGCGACAATTAAATATAATCCTTCAACTCATGTTTTTTCGCTCTGTAGATTGTTGTTAAAGTTGACATATTACTAACATATTAGGATAATATTTCGCTGATTTCGCCCTTTTATCGCTTAAACTTAAGTTTGATGTTAAAGTTGACATATTACTAACGTATTAGGAGATTTCGCCCTTTTATCGCTTAAACTTAAGTTTGATGTTAAAGTTGACATATTACTAACGTATTAGGAGATTTCACCATTTTATCGCTTAAACTTAAGTTTGATGTTAAAGTTGACATATTACTAACGTATTAGGAGATTTCGCCCTTTTATCGCTTAAACTAAAGTTTGATGTTAAAGTTGACATATTACTAACGTATTAGGAGATTTCGCCCTTTTATCGCTTAAACTTAAGTTTGATGTTAAAGTTGACATATTACTAACGTATTAGGAGATTTCGCCCTTTTATCGTTTGAACTAAAGTTTGATGTAAAATTGACATATTACTAACGTATTAGGAGATTTCGCCCTTTTATCGTTTGAACTAAAGTTTGATGTTTTATCGTTTGAACTAAAGTTTGATGTTAAATTGACATATTACTAACGTATTAGGAGATTTCGCCCTTTTATCGTTTGAACTAAAGTTTGATGTTAAATTGACATATTACTAACGTATTAGGAGATTTCGCCCTTTATCGTTTGAACTAAAGTTTGATGTTAAAATTGACATATTACTCACGTATTAGTTGACGATTTCTCACTTTATCGTTTGAACTAAAGTTTGATGTTAAAATTGACATATTCCTTTTATCGTTTGAACTAAAGTTTGATGTTAAAATTGACATATTACTAACGTATTAGGAGATTTCACCATTTTATCGTTTGAACTAAAGTTTGATGTTAAAATTGACATATTACTCACGTATTAATAGAATATTTCGTCCTTTTATCGTTTGAACTAAAGTTTGATGTTAAAATTGACATATTACTAACGTATTAGGAGATTTCACCATTTTATCGCTTGAACTAAAGTTTGATGTTAAATTGACATATTACTAACGTATTAATAGAATATTTCGTCCTTTTATCGTTTGAACTAAAGTTTGATGTTAAATTGACATATTACTATCGTATTAGGAGATTTCACCATTTTATTGCTTGAACTAAAGTTTGATGTTAAATTGACATATTACTAACGTATTAGTTGACGATTTCGCACTTTATCGTTTGAACTAAAGTTTGATGTTAAATTGACATATTACTAACGTATTAGTTGACGATTTCGCACTTTATCGTTTGAACTAAAGTTTGATGTTGAAATTATTTTTCGAGGACGATTATAACCTTATATGATTGCTTCCGTGTACACATCACTGAACAATGATAACTGGACTTTAACACTTTATAACACTTAGGAAGGTTACTTAATCCCAGAAAACAAGTTATATTGGACTTTTTGCATCGCTATATATTATACTTGATATAGTTATTCCTTACTTGCGTCGATATAGAAGTTGAAGAGCGGTCCCCTTTTTCATGTCGCTGAGTTATTTTTATCCCCAAAAACCACTTCTGTTGATAACCGAAAGACTTAGAATCATTATATTGATTTCAAATTTGCGAAAAAAATGATATTGAAATATATCCAATTCCACTGGGACTAGATTTGACCTCTAGTTAAACCTAGAATTATACGGTTTTTGTCAATACGCTCCTGAGAAGACATTGGACGGTAAAAAGAAAGTGTCAAACGACTACATCTGTTCATAATAATTATTGAATGAAGTCGCCCAAAGCTGAAGCCATTAATTGTAGGTAAATTTTGGTTACCTAGCAGACCGAGAACGAGACATTGGTTGATTAAAGATATGGTAGTTACCGAGA